TTGGCATGTGAGGAAATTGGAAGTGTCGTCTCGGTAGTCTGTCCCATTGTCTTTCTGTTGAGAACCAGGGTGGCCACTGAAGGTTGTTATACTGTGCAGGAAGCACAACCTCCTGTTTTTGTCTGTCCAAGTGACAGAGAAGATTTGGGATCGCGTTTTCTCACCGGCTCTGGTTCCCTTCGGAGCATGGATTGCAGTTCCTTCCATGCCCCTTCAGTCTTTGCTGTGATTGTGTCAATCACAGAGGTTCTGGCTTGCATGAATCCGAATGTGTGTTGTTGTCTTTCATGAGCGCAACGCATTCTCCACGCTGCCATGAGAACTGCTAATCGAGTATATGTGAAAAGGTTGAGCATGAAGGGGGACCACTGTGTCGCCCCCGGCAGGGGCTCCCCTAACAAAAGGGTGCCCACATTCCATGGGAGATGTGTCTCTGTAAGGTGGTGCCAAGCTGCATCCCACCAGCTCCAAAGTTAAGCCACCATGGGACAATCCAGTAAGCAGTGTTCCAGGTTGGCTCTTTTCTTTGGGAAGGCCTGTGTACAGTAGGAGCATAGAGGGGACAGTTCGCCTTTGTCTTCATGGTTCGTTCTCATGGTTAGCCAGTCCGGTGTGGGCAGACACCTGTGTATTATTTGCCACTGTAGGGGTCTATGATTGGTCGGGTTCATGTGTTAAGTAGGTTGACCATTCAAAATTTTGGAATCCCATTTTTTCCAGAGGGGAGTCCCTCTCCCAACGTTTGATGATGCTATCCATGACGGGTAGGTATTTACGTGTCGCTCTGTACCCTTTTTTTACTGTGTATTGCCACGGGGTCATTGTACAGGATTCTCCCCATGTCCATTCTCATTCATCGGGGCCGAGGATTTTTGGCCGCAAGGGTTGAGTCTCCCGGACGGAACGGGAGGCTCTCGTTTCGTGGCCGAGGTTTTTCTCGGAGTCGAACTGTCGTCGCGAAGTCACGTGGGGGTCGGATTACTTCGAAACAATAAAATCAGAAGGATTTCTGTGAAAATGAATTGCCATCGTGCATCGGGACGGGAAAAGGCATCAAGGGGAGGGGGCCATGGCGGCGGAAGACAAAACTTCGACCGTCAGGGGTTTGGGGGATAGGTGGTGGGTTCGAAGCCTTCAGGCCTCATCATCGCTTTCACAAAGTGTCTGAACCCTCGGGTCTTTTGCCGTAGAGGTGGTTGGTTCGAGGCCATCAAGCCTCGGCGTTGGACTCATAGAGTCCGCGCGAAAGTTTCCGGGAGGGTAAAGCGGGGGGAGGACTCGCCGGCATCTGAATTCGAAATTGCGCGGGCAGCGCCCCCACACTACGGGAAAGTTCGGGGAAACGTGTCGCTCCCTCGTAACCTAGGACCAGTCGTCGCCACGAGCACGAGTCCCCTTGGCGACACCAGCGACAATCAAACTGCGGTCGTTACACGTCGTGAGCGGCCGACCAGGGCAACACCGTTAAGCCCGTATAAGGCAATATTAGAGTCGGGGAATCAAAGCGATCAATCAACACAAACCCGTTCCCCCTTATCTCACAGGCCCGCGGCGGGTCTTGCCAACACACTTGCTCCGTCCGCCTCATCGCGCGCCGTACGTCCGCATCACAGTAGACGCTGTCGTCATTTGTGATGGGGAAGGTCGATAGCGAAATGAGACGATCGGAGGTACGCGATGAACACGGGCAAGATCCCGCGTTCCCGGTCATCCGAGCCAACACCGAATCCATACAACAATCGTCGCAACTTTTCTCTCTCAAAAAAAAGGGGTGCGTAGGGGGAAGATGATGAAATCTAAGCTTTCTCCCATTGGCGGGGGCGTCGACCGTCCGCGCGAACGCAGGCGGTCGACGTCACCGGTACAATGATGATAAGCTCTAAAAGCGATGACTGTCAGTTCCGAGGAAGGCGATCGAGAAAGGGAAAAAGGGAGAGAGAGAGAGTGAGAGAGTGAATTACGCCGAGACCGCGCGAGAGCGCAGGAAAGACCACGGAGGGGAGGGGAACAACCGGATCAACACACTCATACTCCTAAGCAGACGGTCCCCTAGTTCAATTTTCCCATCCCCGCCCGGACAAGTACATACACACATACATGCACGCGATCAGCAGCCCTTGACAGGACATCTAATCATCCATGGACCTTTGACGTCGCTCATGCGCATAACCAGCACCCTTCACTCGGGGCTTCACACACACAACATGCATAGACAAAGCAGCAATGGAGATAAAAGCGAGTCCTTCTTGTACACAAAAATTTCAATTAACTCCCGCCCCCGGGCGCAGCCTTCAAAACTCCCCAAGACCACCGACCACCMTAGCCACAAGGCCCTACCGCGGCCGGCGTCCAATCCCCACCACTGCTTAGTCCCTCCGACTGCTTCGCCCCGAGACTACCGCGGGGTCCACCCCACGTCATCACTTCGCTCGTCCTTGGGCTCGTTGAGCCTGTTCGGCGCCGCGGACTCTCGCGCATAGCTCGCGCAGCATTGCAGCCGAGATCAAAAAGAGAAGGAGAGGAGAGGGTTGCGCAAATTTATAGCGCGGGAGGCAGCGGGTTAATAGCGCGAGGTGCGAGCAGCGTAGGGTGTAGAGAGCAGGACAGGAGAGAGAGGTGGGGAGTTAGAGGGTTCGACCCACGGGATTGCATGGCTACGTGATTGGGGTGTTCGTTCAAGTGGTGCGCGGTTTCCTGCTTTCCACACTGATCCGAGCATCCCAACTACGCAGCCAATCGCTTCGCGGAGGAAGACAGGGTAAGGATCAAGCTGGGCGTAGGGAAAGACGAAGAGTCCGGCATGGGGAAAATGCGCGCAGCAAGAAGGGAAGATGGCGCGAGGATGCAAAGCAAGAAACGGGGATGCGAGACGCGCGAAGAAATTGGAGCTTGGGCGCGCGCGCAAAAATTCAAAAAGTCCCAACCGCACCCGTTTCTTGATTTTCATACCGCGGCCGCTATTCGCCCGCGGGAGTTATTAACCAAACAAAATAAAAAAGGCCGTTTCAAAAAGAAAACAAAGGAAAAAAGAAAAAAAAACCCCCTTTCTATCTGCGTCCGTACTTCGGGGCTTCCGCGGGGTTTTTCCTCAAGGATACGGCAAGTCGCGCGATACGGATCTGAGCTTATCACATCTGTGATACGCAGGGGGTTCCAAAAAATTAGCAGTCTCCTGACTGCTAACGTGATCATATCTTGGATGATCGGGTGGCCTCTTGATCGTCAGCTGACCCGATCATCCTCCTAATCTACGTGGGTGCATCCCGCATCCTCCATCGCCTCCTCCCATAGTGTACATTCGATCAGGCGGCCCCTTCATCGTCAGCTGGCCCGATCGGGATTTTTTTTTTTTTTTTTTTTTTTTTTTTGAAATACTTTGTTCTTCTTTTTC